ATATATATATATATATATATATATATATATATATATATATATATATATATATATATATATATATATATATATATATATATATATATATATATATACATATATATATATATATATATATATATATATATATATGTATATATGTAAAACTAAAAATAAACTATGTTTTGATTGTGCACTTTGGAGGTCACAAACTATCACATCCTTAAGAATATGGATGATCATTCTAGATATGAGAATATAATATACTGTTATTGCTTAAGTTCTTGAAAATTTTAGATTGCTATGCCTTTAAAAGCAGAAGGTACTAGCTTTGGTATCTGTGGATATGACAAATATAAGGCCTCTGAGATGATTAGACAACACGGCCTGACCAAGCTGGATTTTGGACTTATGTATGCCCTTGGAATCCATGAACATGCCAATTTGGTCCAAAACACCAAGGATCTTACAACAGGAACTTCCATCTACTTCCCAATCTCTGGAGGATCTAAATTGCCCTTTGCCAAACATGTAGGAGCATTCTAGGTTCCAAGAACCATCGATTTAGATTTTGCTCATATATGCCAGTATGAACCAGCATTTACTAGTCTGACGGGTGCCTAATATGCGGACCAAGAACATTCACCCAATTCAATTAGGTACCAGGCATACCACCTGGTAAACTTGTTTCAGGCAGTCAGCCTGGTAACTAGCTGATAAATACCAGGTGATAGGCTGACGGTGACCCAACTTGTCCTACTCTTCATATATCTCAAGAGATCCCTTTCTTATCCTCAAGCAGCCTTGTTTTCTCTCTTGATTTTTTTCTTTGGTTCTCCTTCATATAACTCCCATTCTGCTTAGAATTTCTAAAGTATCTGGAGCTTACTCTCCTACTACTGTGTGAATTTCTTGAGAACCAACTTGGTATTTCTCCCATATCAAATAAATCAATTAGTTTCTATGTTTAACACTGAGTTTTGGATTAAATAAAGACAATTTTTAGTTTCAAAGCTTCAACATCACGTGTACTACACATTGATCTACTTCAATGCAAGCTAGATCAGCTACAATTCGGCCCAGATTCATGAGGATCTAGCATAATTCCATGCTCAGCCTCAACAAGGTATGGGGTTTATCGATAATGCAATGATCCATTAGAAGACCAATATCAATCAATTAGTCCTTGCTAGAAACCACTAAGGTCGTAACTCCTTACGTGGCTTGGAATCAACAATTACCTCCATTTGGAAGTACTATGCCCAAAAAATTTCATAGGTTGTTCTATTTCTATATATTAGTAACCTTACAGAACATCAATTGCCTACAAGCTGCATCCTTTTTCTCCACTAAATTGTTAAAGTGCTTAAACAAAAATACATCTCTAACCTACTCTTCAACTTATATAATGCAAGGTGAGATTAAGGAGCAAGACAACTTAATTACAAGCTATTCATCAACTGTGATGAGCTTTTCATTGCTGTTTGCTGAATCATTTTGAAGGAGAGAACAGATTAACCTAAACCAAGTTAGTAATGCTAAAGAGTACAAAAAGCTATTCTTCTTTTAGCTTGATATTAGGTGTTCGCTTCAATCTATGATGACAATTCCATTACTTATTTGATCTGTAGCTTCCAGGATCCACACCATTCTCCACTTTCCTAGTGATCCCACTTCATATTGGCCTTCTCAATGAAATTAGAAATTTAGAAGGGTAAACTTTTGTTCCTTTTTACTCGAAAAGAATTTTCATTTTCATTTACTACTTAATTCTATGTTGATCCTTTGAGTAAAAGGGTAATATCTTCCATGTACATATGAAACAAGGTACAATAAACATTTTTATATCATAAAGTAATTAGCTCGATACATACATTTTTTGACATTTCTTCCATGCACTTCATTTTTTCCAGTGCTAGAAACATGCAGGGATGTATCCTTAAAACTGTAATCTAATAAATTTAGCGATACATCTATATGAAACAAGGTGCAATAAACATTTTTATATCATAAAGTATTTAGCTGGATGGATACAGAGTTTTGACATCTAGTTCTCCTTATGCACCATATAGTCCTAAGGCCATCATGTCCTTTTTCTATCTTTCAGTGTTTCTGACCATCTCTTCTTTGTCTTTTATCTTTTTCACCTGGAGGGTAGACCAGAACACAAAGCTGTTTCCAAAATGGGGTGTGGGAACAGGAGTGTCCATGAGCATTTCCCTCCTAAAAACCTAATTTGGACCAACATATATCTCATACAAAGACTGACTGATAAGGTTATTTCTAGACTTGAAGTCCTGAGCCACAAGTGATTTCTCAATAATTACCATCAATTGGAACCATCTGATTCACAACATGCAAATTTTACCAGCTCATTGTCAGCTTCTAGCTTTCTCAAGCACAACGTATGATTGTTTCTACTATGATGAGTATTTTAATAAATCAAAAGTCATACACAGCATAACTCTATTGAATCATTAATAAATCATTAATTACAAAGAATGATTGATTTAAATTGTTCTATATCATGTAATGGCATCGGAGACCATAAGCATCATTAAGTAGAATAAAATTATGCATGCAGTTTTTACAGATATTTATAGTTCAAGAACACACTGAACAAATAAGAGCATCAATAGCCAGCAGGTACCTTTGATAAACATATTCGATATCATCAGCACTCAGTTCTATCAATAAATTAGTGTTGAGAACCTCAGTTATGCCAACCGAGAATGTATGTGTCCCAGCATTCTGCATGAAGTAGATTATAGAATGTCAAGAGAATAGTAAGTGATTAGTTAGGAAAAGAATAGTATCTAAAAAAAGTACAAATCAACTAGAAAAATAATCATAACTGGATGTTGATTTATCCTTTCAAACCTCCGTTCAACCATATACTGAGGTGGTTGGTTTCTTCCTATCCTGTTTTGGTCCGCCTGTTATAATAAGATAACCTTTAATCTTAAGTTTCATGAATCCAGATATAAACATTATCCATCAGATCAATGCAAGATAATAACAGTATCCATATCGCTTGGCATGGTTAAGTCCGTAATAGATAAAGATGAAGACCAAAATCATGCAGGAGAATATAGCTAAAATAATTGAACATTGTCATTGCTCTCGAGCTTACTATGAAGCATTTCGAGACCCACAAATACTCATCACATAGTTGGAAGCTTGCTTAGATGGTTCAATAAGGTGGAATAATGGTTGAACTAAAGCTCCAAATAGCAATTAATGTTACTGACTAGAACTATAGGATTAAAAGAGGGTTGAGCATGTGTTGCATGCATTGGCTACAGTCATTTGAATATGGTGGCCATTTGGAGTTTGTCGGATGGTTCAAAAAACAAAGAAAGGTGGTAGAATTTAAGAGGAAAATTGTATTGTAAACCAGGAAACCAATAGTGACAAAAAGAGATGATAAAAGGCTGAAAAGGCGGCAGGATCTCAGCATGGTTTGACAGGCACTCAATGCTATAAAGCAAGAAGTAAAAGCTGTTGTTATTGCCTTATTGGTAGTTAGGACTATCAGTTTCCTGGTTGAGATGCTATAAAGCAAGAACAAAAAGCTTTGTGGTGCAATATGCAGATGACAGGATAGTGGAAACTTAAGGTCTGTTGATTACATACGAGAAAGATTGGGCTAAAGATTGGACAGGTAGAGATAGCCAATTAGCATGGAGAAAAAAGAAAAAAAGAAGAAAACAGTAATGAGAGAAGAAAAGGAAGGAAAGAACGAGAAAGAGAGGATTTTCCCACTGTGACATCCAAATGTGGGAAATAACTTAAATGACTACCACAAAAGGATGCCCAAAAGATATAGTTCTTTAACAATAAACTAAACATATACTTAAAGCATCATGAGCAAGTAATTATCCCAATTTCTAGAAATTAGTGACCAAGAGTTGTATTCTTCAAACACGTAACCAACCATTTTAAAGAAATAGTAGTGCATATAATTCAACATCACTTACTTCCCAAAAATGCCACAGTTGATTATGCAAGCAACTCCAATATGGGGAAGAGCAAAAGGTAGGCTGGTTCCTGTAAGCTTCATAACTAACACCAATTTTATTGCATTCCAGACCATCTAATGAGAACCTCACTCTCTCCAACAGCATCCACCTTGAGAAGTTCTGTCCAAGATTTTCTGGTTGACCAGGAGGACCCTAGCAATATGAGACAACTTATAGCAAGCAAATAAGGTAAACATTCCAGAATAAGATATCAAAGTATAATGTCAGTTACAGATACATATTCTTTTAATTGTGATGGTAAAGAAACAATTTCCAGGATCATTTATATTATCATAGTATACAACAATTTAAATATAACTGTGATAGTCAGAAACAATTTCCAGACTCATTTCTATTATGATAATATACAACAATTTAGAATAAGTATAGTCATCCAAGTTGGACAAGTAAAAGCTCTGGAACTTAGATGTAAAGCATATTTGAAGAGCACAGAAGAGCTTTAGGTTAGTAATCCCTGGCATGCCTACTAAATCCTGTTTCCATACTTCTTGCCATATAGTTTCACATCGATTAACTAATGCACTCTTCATTTGTCCAAGCTCTCATAGATATATGCATGATATCACAAATCTCCTTCCACAAACTGTATCTATGCCAGCTGGCAAAAATATAACCCCATAAAATGAATTCACCCAATGATGACAAAGTCCACCAAAGCTACAAAGATACCCCACTCATTCCATAGGTGCCTCCTCTTTCCTTGCATTGCATCTTTGAAACCCTAAGTGTAGCCAAGAAAAAAGTCGGGATCAGTTTGAGCCACTACAGGTGGAGGTTGATTCATTGGAGTCATTTAATTGGACCAGTTAATTTTTGAATTGGTCCCACAATAATATTTAAGCAAAGATGGGTACAACATGTCCTCAACCCAGTCTAGTTATAAACGGATATCAATCAAGTAGCTTGCTTCAAGGTTCGTAATTTCGTACCGTACCGACATATGGTACGATATGAGCATATCGTTCGGTATGCTCTGGTATACCTATATATATATATATTAAATAATAATAATAATATTATTATTATTAAAAAAAAGGTGATATCATCGAGGTGACGACGCCTCGTTTCTTCTCCCCACGAAGCCTCAGCGGCTTCTTCTCCCAGCGCGGATGAGGAGAAGAAGCCGACTGATTTCGGGCGGTAACAGGGCGGAAATAACCCCAATCGATGGTACCGTCCAGTAGCAGGCAGTCCACGTACCGATCTGCTGGTGGACCGGTACGTACCGCCCAGTGCCGACGGTATCATTCAAAATTAAAATCCTTGGTTTGCTTGCTACACATCAATACTTCTTTCCTTAAACAGAATATTTCAAGAGATTAAACAATAGTAAATTGCATGAACTTCTTATCTAGTATGGTTTGCCACTCCACATTCTGATCATATGTAGTAAGCGTGCCACTGGGACAGCAAGGGTTTTTGTGATACCATGTTTACTTCAAAGTGCAATGGCACATATTATTCGCTCTCATCTATTATTGAACTAAATATTCAACCCACATGAATTGGCACAATTTAAAATGATGATGACGAGAATGGAGGCATAAACTGGTGAATAAAGAAGTCAAGTAGATGGAATAAGAAAAAGGATGAGAAAGATTCAAGTGCAAACAGGTGCTTAAGTAAAAATTTTAGTCACTTCTTTTCTCCGAAACTAAACCTGATGTACAAGATATCAATAACCATACAGTGAACATAATTCATGACATATATCACATACCGATCTTGGTATCACAAGATAAAAGTCCTCAAAAGATGGGAGACTTGTATATCCAACAAAATCACCAATTAGATTTACTCTCAAAAACTTGTCATTAGAGAGTACAGTTCTATTTTCAGGACCAACAATCACTTCCTGCAAAAACACCAATATACAATTTAACCTCAACTTGTAGCTAATACTACACTTAATTCCTTAAAGCGGTAAAGATTACACATGTTTATTCAGAACTCAACACTATAGCATTAAATCAGACAATTCCATATGGACCATGCACATGTATAAACCATTCACCCCATCAAATTTTGACAATCATAAGAAGAATGCATAAGATAGAGAGTCAATTTTCCAAAAAAGAAGAAGAATGCATAAGATAGAGAGTCAATTTTCCAAGACAACTTAAAGTATTAAAATTTTCCAAGACAACTAAAAATATTATGAAATCCTATTTTGAAGTAATTAAAAATGAGAAAAATCATCAAATTCCCTATTGTTGATAATTCTGTATTAAAACTTTTAGACTATAAATTTAATAAAAAGTTAAAAACAATCAGCTTTATGTGACATCAATTTTGAGAGGGACGAAAATTAATATATCTTATCCAACCAAACATGCAGGATAACTTTGACTGCTCATAAAAATATTATTTGTTTTTGGATTGACAAGTCATTTTGTGTTCCACATATGTGCTAATTAATGGTGTAAACAAAGTGTTAGAGATGAAAAATATGGTCATCCCATACAAGCATTGATGTTTGAGATCAGGAAAATGGTCTCCTAGTACATATAATTTTTTTTCAGCGCACTTGAGGAAATTAGTGTTTCCTAGATGGGTCTGTACCCTTCAAAGATCACAAAGCCAATCGGCACATGGCAACACAAATGGAAACATGTCCTGTCAAAAGGGTATTAACATATGCCATGTCAATCCATGCCGGTGCTACCAACCAAGGAATGCTGTTTCAGACCTGTATCGGTGACGTAGTCTAACCAGTATGTACCAGTCGATATCTATAGCTATATAGCTAAGCCAATGCTTGGTCTGTTGCCTGGTACATGAGCATAGCTAGCAACTAGCACATCACCGAGTCAATGCATTCAGAAATGTATTGACACAACCTAATGCCCCCAAATAGCAATGCTTAATTCATTTATTAATTCAAGCAATGGAATCCAGATATATTTCAGGGAACATGTTAGATTCATTGTTCTATTTTAAGCAAAGATAAGTGATACCTATTGGTTAATTTCATTGCTAATGAATTAAAAATCAGTAAACAAGAGCCAGCTTTAAAGATCATGTAAGAATGTGTCTAACAAGTTTCCCATAACCATAAAATTCACCAAGGACCAGATTTCATTATTTTTACTATTAGTAATGCATGAAATTACTAGTCATACATAAGATCTTTATGTTGTATGTTATTTGCTCAGATATTGTTTTGATTATGTATGGTTAACTCTAAACTTGAGATACACAAACTTTAAAAAGTAAGGTTTTTAGCCTAAGTAGGTCTAAGATAAATCATGAAATACAGTTTAAGCATGCCAAGAGAACCAACGGCATAGTTGAATGGATGAACAAGAATAGGTATATTTCATCTATTATTCAACAAGGTGAGATTGATAAAGATATTTGTTCACATAATACAAGCAGGGTAATTAAAGTTAAAATCACATTGAGAGTTCCATATAATTGGCATTTGCCTCTTAGGTCAAAAGAAAATTTTATAAGACATTGTAAAGTTAGCGATACAATACAGATCAAAATACTGGACAATTAAGAAATAACATGTATAAAAATTTCAATAATAAAGATGAGAATGTTGAGTATGTGTGGAGTTTCTAGAAACAATTAAATGAGAAATGTTTTCATTTGTGAACAATTAAGTGCAAGGAGAACTAAGAAATGTTTATTGAAAACAAGAAAAGAGATTCAATTTCTCTTAACTTAACAAAGGATAGTATACTACCTTAAAACGAAATCAACACTGGGAAAAGTCCCTGTAGGCAACCTCAAAAAGTCACCTTTTTTATAAATGTGGTTGATTGTTTCAAATGGGTGACCACACTTAACTAAGACATCCTAAATTAACTTTAAGAACAACCCACATAAAAAAAAAGCTGCTCTCTTTGGCAAAATTTGTTTCCCAATCACAAAAAAACAATAGCAACACCCCTCACACCCCTTGGACTTATTTCCATTGTTCCAATATACATTAATTTGTTACCTGAAAATGTTCATGTTTGCATTGTTTGATTGCAAACGTGTGCATTGGTAATGGTTTAATAATGACCTGCACAAAGCTCATAGACTAGACTAATGATATTTCTAAGATTTAACAAACACATCTGCAAATTATTATTTGCCTCTCATTGAGATATTTCAACACCTCTTACTAGTTCAAACATTACAACTCTTCCAATAAATAAATTTAAATTCACAAACTGTTCAAAACATATTTAAGAACAAAATTCAATTCAGGTCAGTTATTAGGGAATAATAAAATATGCCTTACTAATCACTACCTAAAAATTTTTGCTTGGACAAACTATTAAGATTGCTAAGAACTATTTATGCTAAACTAAGCAGGGTTTGCGAAATTGGGTCAAGCCCCAGCACACAGAAATCTTTGCATTACCCAAATAAAGATTACACCTGATCAGATTTATTAAACAGCCAAAATTATCAGGTCTAGGAGTTGCAGTCCTTTGCATAACATTTAATAGCCAAATTATGCTATATAATATCCAATTTTCAGTCCATAATGCTAAAATTCTGAATAATGCCTTTAAGTTTCACTTTTCAATATATCACTCTTATTTACAATCTCCTCAAGGAAAGTTATATGCTACATCATAAAATGGAAAAGGTACACTGTGAAATATGAATCAGAAATGGTTCTTCATTGAGCACTTGTTGATGAAATTTTCATATGTTATTTTTTAATAACTTTAATCTCGATGACTATTGTAGAACTAAATATGATCATATTTGTTGAAAAGTACAAAAATTACCAACAGATATTTCAGTGAACAATAACACCTAACAGCATCATATTGAATTACATGCACAGAAATGTAAAAGAGCACCAAAGAATGAAATACAACTGTGTAAGGAATGTGCCAAAATAATGTAAGCCTTAATCACCAAACCAGTAGAAGGTGCTCCTGAGGAACCCACCGAAAGTGAAGAACCTTTCTTAACTTCAATATGAATACTAAAGCCGAGCGATCTCTTCCCAATGCCAAAAATATGAAACCTTGCAGGTAAATTGTTTTACTTGGAGTTAAACATTGAACATTGCAAAATGGGGTAAATCAAAACCTCAATGATAATTTATCCATTTATAAGTCGACCTTCAAGTTTCCTATTTTATGTCAAATGAATCATAAGCAGTATGAAGCAATTGTCCTGACTCCTGATAATTTGTTTATTTGACAGCTAGGTCTGTGGTGTTATATCTTTCACCAAAGCCATGGAAACTTGGTATTATACATCACTAGGACAAGATTTTTTTTCTTTTTACCACTATGACAAGTTATTACAGTACTTTCAGGTGAATCCATGACAGTTCTAATATTTTTCCTTTTACAACTAGAAGTTACAATAGTACTTTAAAGCAGGGTTTTTAAAACCAAACTGTACCACCCGGTAACAATGCTCCAACACAAAAACTTGCTTCCTTTTCTTTGCCCTTTTCACAGAAAGAGAGAGGGAGAGAGAGAGGAGAACAGGCAACAAATTGAGCGTGATATGGTGAAGGAAGAGTCAAGAATGGAGAGGCTTCCGGAGCTCTGCATCGCTTACGCCATTTCCCTTACATCGCCCCGGGAGGCATGCCACTTATCCACCGTCTCGACCACCTTCCATGCCATCGCGACCTCTGGGACTGCTTCCTACCTGCTGCTTGAGGAAGCCCTCGTGGAAGAAGAAGCTGCCTCACTCCGACCTCGACTCCTCCGCTTCTGGTCCCGTCGCACCCCTGTCATAGCGACACCGTCGGATGATGGAACTCGACCCATCACCGCCTTTGTAAATCACCCTGTTTCGGTGACTGAGGATGGTTGTTCGTCATCGCTCATTTTTACTGAGACAGATAGTAAGAGGTTAAAGGGTTTTATGCCCTCTTTTTTTTTTTAGGTATACCGCTCGGCATTCTGTATCGTATTGTACCAAGCAAACACCGGTATGATATGACATTAAAAATCTTGCTTTAAAGCAGTGCCATCGTACAATGGTATATTGTTTAGTACGGGTCGTACATATTGATCTGATAGGGTATCGATATGTAGACCACTCTGTACTAGGTGGTATATACTAAAAGGTTTTGTATTGCCTGATATGAGCCTATATTACTCGATAATAATCGGATTTCAACTATTATCAATAAACGACTCAAATTTGACCCTTTCCAATAGTCAGATCCATTTGGCCCTTTTCACTCTCTTAAACTCTTATACTCTTTCAATCTCTTTCTCACTCACTTCTTTCTCTCACTCACATTTACACTCTCCTAAAATTTCACAAAGATACAGTTTGTGGATTAGATCAAACTTGGAAGGCTAATTAAGGAGGATTAACACTTAAGTTAGAGGAAGAACTCTTCAATCAAAAATATATAAATAGCATCTCAATCGCATTCAACGACTAACTCGATCCAAAGACATGGCAGTGACATAGACAATGATGCCTCAACCAACGATAGCAACGACGTCGAGGACTCGATGGTCTCATATGCAAATTTGAGAGTGGTGCATAAACCGAGGAGCAGTATTTTACATATGCCACCGAAGATTCAGATCATAGACCTCAACATGATAGTTGGTCATTCTTCTCCGAGCAATAGTACAGCGATCGATCTCATGATATCGGGCAGCAGATCAGTGGCAGAAGTAAAATTTTCGATATTCTCTACGCTTCGCACTAATATATGCCACAATCATACTTGCCTCAAGAACCACCTCGGACATGTATGGTTCACAACGATCAAACTATGACCATCACTATATTGATGCACCAATGGCATACGGTGCTTCAATATACTATGTCGTGGAATCAATTTTAAGATTGGGTTTGACAAACATATTAAATTGATATAGATATATAGGATCGAGAACCTCAATCCATCGCCCGTGAAGTCCTGTCATTTTTTTTGCTAGAATCAGGCAACGTCGCCTCGTTTATATATATATATATATATATATATATATATATATATATATATATATATATATATATATATATATATATATATATATATATATATATATATATTTATTTTT